GTCTTCAGTATAGTAAGTATTTCTTTCTTTGTTCCTCTTTTTACCCCCTACAGTTAATCTACAGAGACTTTACTGCTCGGAGGTTGCCTCACACAGCAACTTGTGTAACAATTTCAGAGGTTCTAACCTGATTAAATATGGCTCCGGTCCTGTCTATACAACGGGCAGTGGCATAACAAGCAGAGCTGGTGCTTGGGGCAAACCCTGTGAGATTAGGGAGCAAGTTCTGAGAGTTTAATTTCTGCACTGCTGGAGTGTGCATGCTGGGGTAAGATTAGGTGGGCTGGTGGTGGAAGTGCATATTGCCTACACAGCGCAGAAAGAACCAACTTGGAATTTTAAATGGCTCTCTTTGCTCAGTTATCTTGCAGGAGAAGCTACCTCAAACTCTTTTGTTAACACAAGTGATGCTCCCTCCTCCTATATAGGGTTTTATCATTTGAACTTTGACATTCAGCTCCTCAGAGCTCTGTTCATGTCTATCAACTCTCTTAATCATTATGCAATTATTTTCAAGAACAGGCACTGCCTGTGTACATATAGGTATCTGTGAAGAGGATCTCTGTTTAAAAAGCTCCCAGTAGGCAGCCCAAACACTTGAGTTTGTGTTTAAAAAAATCTGGTCATGTAAAGCAAACTTGTAAAAATTGAAGGAATTTACATTAGCTACAGTGGCTAAAATTTAACCATTGAATAATCTGACCAGCTACATCCATTCTTGTTTATGGAAAAATCACTGGGACCATAACAAGCACTTATCTGCCAGAGAGAAAATAGTTTATATGGGCCAGGAGGGTTCACATTTTGTATCTGTAAAACTGATGGGTTTTCTTGGGTTTATCTTTCAGTATCTTGTGGTGGATACACAGCTCATGCTTGGAGGAAAGCACCGGTATTGTTTGAATCCTGAAGAGTATATCTTTGCAGCACTGAACCTCTATCTCGATATCTTAAATATTTTCATGTTCATACTCCAGTTAATTGGGCTTTCACGCTGAAAAGCTACTGCACTTGAACTGAGACATTACAGGACAGAAACCATGTGAGGCAAAGTCTAAGTGCAAAGCTAAAAAAAAAACACCTTACAAAAAATGTTCTTGGTTTCAGACTATTGCCACATAAAGAATAGTTCAGTAAAGTACAACTCTTACACCTGAAACCACACACAGTTTCAAGTGGCCCTCCAGCAGTCAGATTTAAGCCCACCAACAACTCAATTTAAACATGAATTTCAAAAGTGAAATCCTCATGGAAGGGCCAGACAAGGTTTGTAGCTGTGAGGAAATAAGGACAAAACTAGCTCACGCTCAGTATTTGGGTGTATTTTTTTTAAACAAGGGTTCAAATAGTGCCTAAAAATTGTGGTAAGATGAATCTGAAATAAACTACCTACACTGTCTTGTTCATATATGGATACTGTGACCTAGTTAGTTAAGCAATGCTTTACATAATTCTATATCTATTTACATTTGACATAAAGTATGTTGTATCTTGAGAAGTCAATTTTTACTGTCGTAAGTGTCTAATACATGTAGAGGAATAAATCCAACTGTAATTGGTGTTTCCTGTATACTTCTTTGTACTAGGAAAGGTGAGCTGGTGATGTTTTTCCCAGCTAAAACCATAATACAGCTAGCAATGGTTTTTTATGCTTTGCAGTGAGAATAAGGGGGAGAGATGGAGTCCAGATAATGAAACAACTGGAGTTTTTCCTATTCTATAGACAACAAGGTAAAGGACACTAGCTGGTAGCAGTGGGTCTAGAATATGGCTTTTCCCCCTTGTCAATATCTTTGAGGACCAAGAAACTCCAGTTAAATACAGCAAAAGCTTTGTTATCCAGCACCTATGGGGAATAGGTGGTGCCGGATAACCGAATATGCTGGTAACCTGAGAGTCTTTGCCTGTTTGGGCTGCTGCCCCATCCACTGCATCTGGTGTGCCGCCCCTCCTGCCGCATCAGTGTGCTGGAGGACAGGGAGGGGAGACCTGGGCACATTGGAGAAAGGCTTCTAGGCCCTGGGCCGTGGGGGCTCCGTGAAACTGGAAGTGCCATGGTGGGCACTTCCGGCTTCACTTTTGCCATGTCGACTGGCATGCCAGTTAGTAGAGCATGCCAGTTTGTAAGGTGCTGGATAATGCGACTTTTACTGTAGAGTATGAAGTCTGGGCCATAGTGGATTCAGCATGCTTAAGTTGTTTAAAGCCCTGTTTATGACAATTTCTCTTGTAAATGTTGACATTTAGAAGATACTGTTAGCTTATGAAAGAAGAAATAATAGATCTTTAGAGCCTCAAAACCGTAATATCTTAGCTTTCATAACTGTAATATCAAGTGTTACTCTAAGTGTGTAAAAATACTATAACAATCTCAGACTCTTGGGAGGAATATTTACATTAAATAATTGTAAATTACTTATACATGTTGTAATAATGTAGTACATGCTAACAAGACAATCCAGGCATCCTATGTACATTACTAGCATACGTTTTTAAAACTAATGGAATTTGAGGACTCCAAGTATAAGAATTAGCAGGATCTGGCTGGTTCCAGTGTTTTCCTTCTGCAAACCAGACAGCGTCTTCTTTGTACTTAATAATGTTTGGACTTGGTCCTAGATCACAGTACTACTGAAGAGACTCTCTT